CGCGACGCGTAAATTTCATTTTACAACGGATAACGAATTTTCATTGTCGCCATTTCGCTTCCCATCCTTTCTCGCCAGATGCGTATATTATCGACGTTTGAAACGGCGCCTTTATGTATTCGCCTAAATAATATAAATCGCCGCGATTATTTCCAAAAACTGCATTAAACAATTACCAACGCGTAAATATATTGCATTAATTAACGCGCACGCGCGTTTGATTTTTTATGCGTTATCCCGCTACATCATACCGTTACGTCGTGTAATTTTTATGTCGCATTTATATATTATCTGATACATACATAAAATATCCATTTAAAAAGTAGAATTTATGCCTTCTCTAAATCCTTTGTTTAATTAATCGGATATTAAAATTTTCAGTGAAATATTTTCAATGTGCTAACAGAAATATTGATAATTAATAAAAAAATAATGTGATTTTCCATCTCTTGTTTTACATTGCATTGTTATGTATTTTGCTGTGTTTTGCTTCTTCTCCGATTTTTGGACATTCCTCTTCGCTCATCAGCCTTGATATGTTTATTTTAGAGTTTGCTGCGCTCTATATTGTTCCATTCTATTCTACTTTGCTTTATTTTTACGCTGCTATATTTCACTTTATTTCGCTTTAGATCGCTTTAATTTTTTTCGCATTATTTCAGTGCGCTTTATCTTCTTCCTTTCTTTTCTTCCGCTTTTCTTTAGTTTCTTAATTTTCTTTCTGGTTTCCTCCGCCGTTTATTACTCTATATTGCTTTATTTTACTTCACTCTATTTTTACACCGCTACATTCTGGTTTACTTTACATCGCTCTGTTTCTTTTAATCTTCTTCGCGTTATTTCGCTTCGCTTTATACCGCGCCTCACTTTCCTCATTCTCCTTGGTCCAGTTTCCGCTTTGGCCTTCTTCCTCTCTTCGCGGAATATTGCGCTCCTCTGTTCCTTGCCCAACTTGCTTCGTTGCGCTTTGCGCTATTCTACTTCCCCCTGTTCCGCTTTGCTCCGTCTCGCGTGAACCCGAGGCTTTGGAGAAATCCGAGCCGGATTGACGGCGCTATGTAATTTACTTGCTGTGCAGGAACGGAACGGAGGAGCGCCGGCCGCCCCTCTGATTTTACGCAATGCATTTTAATCGCGGATTTAACGTTGCGGCGCCGTCGGCTCGTTTCAAAGATCAACCTCGAAAATCGACCCGGCTGAAGTCGCGCGGAGGGAAGAAACGGAGCCCTACGGTGACTTCACAATGACGCCCATCCCGCTCTCCACGACTTTATCTCCTCGTTTCCCTTTCGCCGATTCTCTACGTTTCCGTAATCCTCCCACAACGCACTTCAATCTTTCGCGTCTCCCTTACTCTCCCTCCCTCCCTCCCTCCCTCCTTCTTCTTTCTCTTCACAACCCTTTTTCTCATTTCTCACAAATTCCCCGCTTCTCTCCACGCGCACGCGGGCGTACTTTCTTCAAAACCCTCAGAATTCTCCCGTGTTTTGTTCCAATATCTCGCATTACAGTTCGAAATCTTGCCAATTCTCGATACTTTCTTCGGTGAGAAGCTAAACACGACGCTTCCGTCGAACAAGTGGCACGATCTTCACCCTCTGTAATTCGAGACTTCACAGGGGAGGCTCCTATTCTCTTCCCTTCTTGCGCCAACTTGTTCCTACCATCCGCTCCCCCTCCCCCCCCCCCCTACCGCCCGACTCCCTCGCGATCTCCATTCGCGCCTCATAATTAAAGTCTGGAGACACCGAGTATTTTCTATTAACATTCCTGGCTAACCCAGCGTGTTCAAAATGACCGCAGCTATAGCGGAATGTTGCGCAGCCGACCGGCTGTATCCGGGATGCACTTCTGCGCAGCTGGAATGTAGCTGCTTTTGCCGCCATTCGGACTATGTTGCCAGCAATTTGTCCTCTCCGCAGAAATTTGTCGTTTCAGTTCATATTTAATATCACACACACAAATGTAGCACTCTGCGTGTAAAACTCTCAAATATCTCTGAGAGTGTAGTGGCCTTTGCATTTACATAGTTTTACTCCTTTCTAGAGGTTTCTCTTATTCCTTTTACTAAAAAAAAAAAGAACTTGTGTCTAATGTTACATTAGAGAGAAGAAGCCAAAATGTGTAGCCGGAATGCATGGCATGTAACGTGTTCTTCTCAGAAATTATATATAATTTTATAAATATATATACGTAATATTATTTTTAATCATTTTTTAAAGAACTATACTTTTTTATTTATTTTTTGAACTATTCAAACGAATGGACAACGTTTGCTTGTCCCAAATTATAGAGCGTTTATATAAAAATCCACAAAAAAATCAATCATCACGAAATCGAGAATTTGTGGTCCCTATTCACAACATTCTGATAAAATTCTATACGCGTGATTAACCAATCGCATTGGGATACGCATTGAAACTATGTATTGATATTCGACAGAGATGCTTTTGGAACTTTGTTAACATGTTCTGAATATGAACCTATATTGATGTATTTCCATGAAAAAAAAAAAAAGTATAAGATGAATCATTCGCTCATTTCACATTCATTGCATTTCCTTTCATCTACATTTTGATTCATAAATTTTGAGTCGAATTGAACGAAATATATATATACTAAAAGATTTAATGTCGAGAGAGAGAGAGAGAGAGAGAGAGAGAGAGAATTAAAACAGTATGAATGTAATGTCTAATTAAAAATATTTCTAACAAAAATATCGGCAATAAACTCGTCAAATTAATTAAATTCGCGATAAAAATATATATTTTTAATTTTATACATTTGATTTTCCGCGCTGTGCGGGAGAGAAAGCATCGATAGTAATATTTCATCGCCTTCGATTTTCAGCACAAGCGATTATTATCACTGATTTTACCGAAAATCCGGTTTTGCGTGAACGAAGCTTTTGGTTAACATCGACCTCACGATCGATTGTTTTTCTTCGCCTCCTGAAAAACTATTTTCGCAGATAGATATTGTTGCTTTGGCAACCACCAGCATTCGCAAAACTCTGTGTAAACAATCACGATTGTTTAACGATTTCTCATGAGAACCACTTATCCTCGTTTCATAAATACGCTTCTAATAAACTGTGCGAAATATTTCCGCCACCTTGACGCAAACGGCCGTGCAAGGTGAGTCTGAAATAGGTAGTACGATATAATCTCCGACTCTGAGTAATACGTCTCTCTCGAGCCTTTTAATTTAAAAATATACATTAACATCAGTTCTTCTAAGAATTTCGAGTATTTGTTGTTGTTAATTCAAAAAATGGTTAAAAATATCCATTATTTATAAAAAAAAATCTAAACGAAGGAATTGTATATGTTGCATATGTATTAAAAACTTACAATTGAATCAGAACTCGAGATTGCCTGCAATTTATCAAAATTTTATCAACGCTTTCACAAAATGTAATTTTATTTTTGTAATTCATTAAAGTTCTCTCAGGTTTGGTGTGGGTTGTTAAATGTAATGGCAGCAATAATAACGAAAACATCGTTATCGAAATTATTATTCAAACGATCTGGCTGGAGTATCCGATTTTTGCCGGATAAATCATGCGAAGTTGATGCGATCGTAATGCGATATTAATTAATAATTCGGCGGAAAGAGGGCACATTCGCGGCGAGGAGGTTCGGCTTGATTAGTATACGGGACGCGTGCTAATTTAAATATCATTTGCACGGAGCTCAAGTGCCAGCAGTCATTAGCGTGGAAAGAATTTAATTACGATTGTTCGTAATCAGTACACGCCGCGGCGCTGATTTCAAGTTAATCCCCGCGCACGCTTTCAGAGCTCGTCCGGGCGGATGAACGGGTCCTTATTCGGGAGCGACGGCACGTCCCGATAAGCAGAAATTGATAACGAATTTTCCGGCGTTTTAGCGCAACGAGCATGCCCGTCGTCTAGTCTGCGACAGACAGAGCAAACGACAAACGTAATTGTCGGCAGTTTAGCGTCAAGTTTTGAGCCGCGCCGAGCTGAGCCGAGCCGAGATTTTGCGAGTAAAGCGCGTAAGCTCGCGAGCAATCGTGTAGACTGATATTCGCAGCTGCGATGCGAAAGAGAATTAAGTTGTGAAGTTCACCCAGCAGTAATCTAACTCGTTGCTTGAAACAAGCGACAACGAGAACGCCGTGTATATTCGAGGATATAACGCGGCACGTGTAATAAATTACACGATTAAAGTTCGCGAATCCATGCGTTTGGATTTCGCGCATTCGAATTTGTAGATTTGCGTGAATCTCAACGAATACGTCATTTTTCTTTGTTTCTCTTTGACATGACATTTCCTTCGATTGTTTGGCGTCGTAATTTTTAGAATGGCTAAATATCCATGAATATTTCGTTATTCGGATATTTATTTTATTAGTTTGGTACCTTGGAATATTTACAACTGTGGATATTTGAATATTTATGTTATTACTATGTAAAACTATGTTGCGCGAAACAAGTGACAATACGAGGCGGTTTATATTCGAGAATGTAACGTGGAACGTGTAATAAATTACGCGATAAAGGTTCATGTATCCGTAAATGCATTTGGATTTTATGCGCTTAAACTTGGATTGGTCGTGGATTAACAAAAATATTTCAATATTTTTTCAGTTCTTTTACGTACTTAAATTTTAGGACAGTAGGTGCTCGTAAAATATGAAAGTTCTTTATTTAACACACAGATAATACAACACCCCTATCTAAATATTTCAAAATTATATATCCAGCTAGATATTTATAAATTATTTACCCAATTTTCATGAAATTATCAGATTTTTTCCTTTTAAAATTTTAATATATAACATATTAATATATTTTATTGCATACAAATTTTCTTTTGTATTAATTATACTTTTGCTTTTAATAGAAAAATTTTCGAGATATGCAATAATAATGAAGAACAAATTCTCAATTTTTGTTCGTGATAATTTGTTTCATTTTCAACGTCTATATTTTATTCTAAACATAAATATCATTAAAAACTGTTAATACTCACCGAAATTACTGGAGAGCAGAAAGAGAACAATTCTGTCAGATATCAAAATAGATCCATCTACTCCGTCCCCCGAGTCGCTGGATTGAATTCACCGATTCCACAAAAATCTCGGTCTGCAGATCGATCAACTTCAAGATCTTATTATTAGTCTTTGACAATTCCACTTATGTCGCTCTTACTATGTTCAATACTATTCAAACAGAACTCTTCGAAGTCATGGTTCGTGGAGTTTGGATAACCAGAAGTCTTTTAAATGTCAGACCTTTCCACTTTAAGATTCTCGTGGCGTCCGGACAAAAATATCCTCCAGCAAGGATTTGAGCGGGATCCTAAAGAAACACTCGTCAGGTCTAAGAATTCGCGGTGGAGATTCCTCAGAAAGTTCTTGGTAATAGGTCGATGGATCGTGGAGCGCGCGAGACACTACGCTCTTTAGTTCTTTATTGACGTCACTTTTAATCAATTTTATATCGATCGAACAATCTTCTCTCGGATTCTATAAAAATATCGAGAAATGAGATTGAAAATGAGTCTTCTTACGGATGGTAGAAGACACCTTCAATGTACCCTCAAAAGTCCTGGCACTCCGGCCACGTGACTAAAAATCTACGCGACGTAAAAGCTGTTCGGTGCTGAGAAACGTCCTGAAACCGAGATGCTGCAAATTCTCGCTCAATTTTCGCCAATTACTGAAGAATAATGCAAGATACCTGAAGATTCTTAAAAACTCCTCGGAGTGTTACGTGATTCTCGATAACGTCCGAAACACTTTTCGACTGCTCTTTCGACACGTCTCAAAATTTCACAGAATCTACTTCCTTAAAAAGCTGCTTTCATCTCTTTTGTAAATCAGTTCGCCATTCCGTAAACTTGTTCAAAAATCTGCGAGCTTCCTTAAGTTTCCTTTAAACTTCTACGAGATACCTCAGGTGCTCCGAGTTTCTTCAAGGTGTTCTCTCAAAGTCTCGACTTATCTCTCAGATTTGTCCAAGGATTCTCCGGTCTCCTTAAAGCACCTGAAGGCTTTATCAAACTTCTCCGGGACCGGCTAGTCGTTAAAACAGAAACAATCCCCCGAAGAACGTTTCCGATTTATTCGCTCGATCTGTCAGACGTAATTACGATTTATCGATCTTGATCGGAGCGAGAAGATATGTTGACGTGATCCTCAGGACGTGGACGGTGATATCGTTGGTGGTTCGATCGTGTACGTAAAGCGGGAGCGTGGTCGCAGCACTACGTAACAGTGAAGGCGTCGCGACCCTAGACAGACGCAAACTGACGGCGCGGCGCTCGGTAACCCGCGTCGCGACGTCGCGCGCTGCGACGTTAGGCATCCGTCCGCCCGCGGCGACCTCTCGCACGCGCGAATCCGCCGCGCATATTCCGAAGCGGCGCGGCGCGACGCATGCTGCGCGAGCAGTCGAGCGGAAGGAGAGCCGACGCGGAAGAAGCTGCGAAGGATGCACGCAACAGTTGTTCGAGCATCCTTAAATTCGAGGGTGCTCGTGCTTGTGCGTACTCTGACGCGAAGATGCTCGAATTTCACGATAAAGTTTGAATTCTTTATCGCTACAAACGGCCTTATTTGTGTGCGATGTTTGCACATTTGATATCTTGTAATTCTCAAGAGATATCAAGAATTTTTTTAGACTAGACACTTTACGGCACAGACATTGTTGTTATTGTAACAACACTTATGTTATGCTGCAGTAAAGATTAAAATGTTGCACATAAAATTATACAAATAAAATCAAATCATCAAGTCTCTTAGTTTTATACATTCCGCCGAGTTGAGATGCGATGAAAAATTATTTATAACGCAATAAAAAATTAAACTTTGTTCTTTTATATTTAAATTACTCCACCGCAAGTTTAAATATTCTTAATATTCGATTTCAACCAATTTGCTAAGTGCTACACGCCGTATGCCACCGCTAATCACATAACGCTAAATTGCAACAACAATCTGCTAATACATCTGCGCACGCGATCGTCTCGCGGAGCCGATCCTGACACGCGTATCGCGTCACGTGACTCGCGGATCACGGCAGGCGATCCAGCAAAGTTTCGTGTCCAGTCTGACAGCGCGGCTTAGAACGTGCGCGCACGTATATGTATACAAACAGATATATGTATGTGTGGCACGGTAGTTTCACGTACAGCGGCGGGACGTCGACGTGAAACGAAACGCCGTGAGGCATGAGAACGGAATTCCCAACGGGAACATAAAGCCGCGGACGCCCCTTTTCCGGCGGCGTCTCGACGCCTGCCGACGCTCACGTATACGTGCCACGTCACGTGGCCGACGCGCGAGATCCGGCCGACAACGCGACGCGTCGCGACGCTCGGTACCGGGAGCTCTGAGAAAATAGCGAAATGTTGGCGGACCACGTCCGGCAATGAGCGTGTGTGGCTCTGAATGGAAGGTTTGAGGGAGGCTTTCAAATGGACTTAAAACAGTTTTTAAATCCGAACAATAGGGAAAGAGAAGTGAAGGATGTAATATGTAACATAAGGATGTGAGAATGCTTGTGGATTTGAAAACAATTGTATGGGCGCGCGGTGCAGAAAACAATGAAGTTATTTCCAAAGCTTTTTACCTTCTACAATATTCAACAATGCGCAAAAATACTTTATTCACGTTGTCTAGATACAAGCATAATAAATAATAGATTCGTGCAGATTTGCTCTTTTTCCGTCAAACTTTGTTTAGAAAATGCAAACGCTAATTATTACCCTAATTTGTGAGGAAAAAATGCGCAACAGCGATATTGTGATCATAAAATACGCTTCCAAGTCAACTTTCTGAAAATTTCGTGAATGTTATATAAAATTACGCACGATTTTCTTCAACTTGGCTTTTCAGTTAAGTTTCTGGAATGTCCAGCGGACAACTATGTTTAATTAAGGGGTTCGGACGTAAAATCAGGTAACTGACATTTGCATAAATGTCAGTTACTCGAGTTTACCGGGTTTTACCTTTGAACCCCTCAATTAGTTACTCACTAATGGTTCCCGTCATCTTCGAAGTTCTCTTATGTAGCAATACACTTAATGAATTAGTGTTTCCCACTATTCGAAACAATTTTGCTACATTTTTTTTAATTTGACGTGCGTCATATTTCTTTAAATATATCTCAAAATGCGCAGACCTTTAAAACAGGTTTTAATTTCTAACGTAATTAAACATGAAAAATTAATTTGATGAGAAAAGTAGTACGGATTTTCTTGGCAATTTTTAATAAAAAAAAAACATGGGGTCACGTTTTCAAAGATGATTTCTAATGCACAGATTTTTATAGAATCTATATCGGAATTCCCTTTGGATTCAGCCGTAGGTATAGTGTATCGATTTTATGATCGCGACATTCGACGGCGGGAGAAAACAAAGAAAATAACGAAGGTGACTTGGGAGAAGGTGGAGGAGACGAGTGTGTGTGTGTGCGCGGGGAGAGGCGGGGAATAAAGAAATTGGTGTACACAGGAACGGCCGTCGAAGTAAGGTGCTCCGCAAGCGTAGCCCGTAACTTTAGCCTATCAGGAACATCTGCGAGGAAACTGTGCGCGGAACGAGCCAAAGTTACCTGCAATTGACAAATTTCCGATGGCTACTTCGTGGCTGTCGCCTTCGCGGCAATTAGTCGCGATGGACTTTGGAAACACTCGGCGCGTGACGTCGATCATGACTAATTGCCAGAAACAAGGCAATGCGCCTGATAAGTCTCTTCCGTCCCATCGCCTTTCATTTCCTCGTTCTTTTCCCCCTCCCGCATCTGTCTTCGAAACTTGTTTGAATGAGTGAGATCGGAAATCGCCGTGAGACAGACATTGTTTAATGCTCTCTGTAGCTGCAGTCGTCACATATATAAGCCGGTCTCGACGAAAACACCGGACACGCAGTGTTATTGTAAAATGTATAAAATATAGAGTCAATTTTCCCGAACGACCATGTCATAACTTGTCAACTTTTTTATGATCGTTTATCTGAATGTTGATTCTCTTTTTCCCCGATATCGTTTATTCCTGTTATCAACAATGGAGTATTGGATAAAACGTTATCGAGACCTACGCATTGATCGGCGGGAGAAAAAAAATATCGGAAAGAGTACAACCAGCGTCATTCCTTCAATAACGCCGTAAGGTGCGTCGCATTAATATCGATCAGCCTTCTCGAAAGCGACTACGTCACATCAATATCAATTAACGCGGTAAGTAATAGAAGATCGCGTGCTGCGCCAGTCATTTGCTCATCCCGCCGATATCCTCTCCTCCCTCCCCCCGGGTTAGTCCCCCCCTGCTGCGATCATCAAGTCCTATTGGTCGTAAAGCGAATGATCGATAACGTCCACGCCACTCGCAAAATAGGCATATTGGTATGGATCGATAGCCAATAAAAAAGTGCTTTTAATCAAACGGTATCAAATGATATTTATGTACCATTTATATATCATATTTATATATCGTTTGATACCGTTTCTCTAGTATCACAGAAATTAATATCTACACCTTCTTTCAGTCATAAGAATAGAAAGTGACAGAAATCTTTAGATTATTTAATAATTTGAAATTTTAATTAATAAAGAATTAACGTAAAGTCTAATTATATATAATCATCAATTATAAAAAAATTATATTATATGTAAATTAATATCTAGTAGAATATTAATCCAGACTCGTCTTACTATGACAGTTACGTTTTAATGACGAATTTCTTGTCTAATTTTAAGACTAAGTATGCATAGTTTTTTCATCAAAAAGGTAGTAAAACTTTATATGTGTGTGTGTTCATTAATTCATATATTATTAAATTATTATTTAATCGTATATTATTAAATTATTATTTAATTATATTCGAAAATTATTCAAGCAATTTTAGTTTTAAATTTTATTATGTATAAAATTGAAAAGTTTAGCTAAGAAAGAATTTTGTTTCATAGATAAAAGTCTTCTCGCGTTACGCTTGTGAGAGATTTATTTTTTCCGTCAACCTAAAAGCTCACTCTTTTTCTATGAAAAAGAACTAAATCAAAAAGGACCGGCGCAGCTCGTTAAAATGGCAAATACCAAGCTTTCGGATGCGGTTGCTGAAAGTGCATATTAGTGCGTTTCGAGAACAATAACGTCGAAAGAAGGCTGGGGAAAGTGTGGGGTGGGGTGTGATAGGGAGAGAGGGAGGGAGAGATCGCACGGGCAGCCATTTATCAAAAACACGTAACACCTATGCAAGAAAAATCGACGATGTTTTAGTCGGCGTGCTTATGACGCGGGAGATGGATGTACGAACCGAAACCTTGTACATTCTAAGGGGCGGCAAGAACATTATGTATTATACGCTTCTACGCCGCGCTTCCCCGACCCTCTTCTACACTCTCGCGAAGTCCTTCGTGACGGAAGGGCGGCGCGCACCACCAACCATCGCTTCTTTTGCTCGAATTCTTTAGAAAAAAGTGCGTAACTTCATGCAAGAGCTACAAAAAGGGATGTAGCGTTAGGGTGTGCAAGAGGCTAAAGATGTCTAATGCGTGAGAAGCAGATAAGGAGGAATCATATTATCAATTGCGGCATTTTTTAATATTGTTCCAATCAGGGAGCTCTATAAATTACTGTAAAGCAATTGCGTCCGATTCAAACTAATGATTACCAAGCGACACACATTTCGTAACAATTTATAAGCAGTTGTAACAATAAGAGTTTTATTATCTTTCGTTTGTAAGTCTTGAAAATAATATTTAAAATTATAATTTTAACTTATTGTTAGTAGGATCATTACAAAATCTAGATGAGCGAAAAAGTATGGATATTATTGTCCTGAGATTTAAATTTTTGATATTTTAAAATTTTCTGGAAAAAAAACTATTTAAAAAATATAGAACAAAAATTTTTAAATATAATGATCTAAAAATTTAAAATCTAGAAATATTTCAAAATCGTAGAGAAATTGCACGAAAAATATTTTTAAATCTGAAAACCGTTACTCTACAATATTTAAAAAAGATATTCTAGAAACGAAATTTCCAATGTTATTTAAAGATTATTAATGTTATTAAATTAAAAATTTAAAGGTCTGCAGGACTTTTAACATCAATTGTTGAAAGAATCAATAATTTATATGATGTAAATAATAGCCTACAAAGTGTAGCGATAAATGGCTGTTAGCTTTGTCGTCGACCTGGCTTGTTCTTTCAGATTGACATTTCAGGAAAATGTTACTCGCAACCATTGATCCTCTCTTAAGTACAACGCATTCAATGCAACGTCTAATACGCGATATTGAAATAAAAATAATTAGTATAATA